GAGGAAGAGGAAGAGGAAGAGGAAGAGGAAGAGGAAGAGGAAGAGGAAGAGGAAGAGGAAGAGGAAGAGGAAGAGGAAGAGGAAGAGGAAGAAGAAGTGTGGTGGAGCTAATAACTATCTAGTTGTCGACGGAGACTCCACGCGTGCAGAACGTAAGGTACTCGCATGCGCTAAGGACCTAGGCTATATAGTCCCGTAACGCTGAGTCCTGATCTGTCATGCGGGACATCTTTCCCCTCCGCGAAATTAGGATTTTGTCTATTGTACAAACGTCCTCCGTACAGGCAGGCGGCGCGCGAGCCAGACTGGCGATTGAGTCGTACTGGACTAGGTGCGGACGATTTGTCTCAGCGCAGTTGTCCCACAATGCAAAGTGAGAGGTCCGGCGACGGGGATGTTTTGACTGCGCGCGCGCGCGCGAGCACACAAGTCACCGCTACTACATACTACGTCCATCGTGCGTGCAGAAGCAAGCATCATCGTCCATGCACAAGCAAGCAGAAGCAAGTATCATCGTGCACGCAGAAAGCAGATAGCAAAAACGAATGTCATTGCGAGACCGAGACTCGATTCCCATAACGAAAGAAAAGTCTTGAACTCAAGACGCCGGTTGTAAAGCAAAGACACTGACCATCATGACATGACCACGGCATCCGACAAGGCCTGTGCTACAGTACTCCGTACCGTGTGCTCCATTCCCTCCCTCCCTCCCTAGGGTACCCTGGGCAGAAATGCCTCGTGCTGGAACTCGTGACCATGTCCAGCACACGGCCACTGCCACTGCCACCATCACCGTCGCCGTCGTCGTGCCCTGGAGAGATCAGAATCCCCCTGATTCCCACTCCAGCTTGACTCCTCCCCTCTCACACCGCTCCCACACCGCTGTTGGAGACGCGGCACGGCTTACATGCTGCGTACTCCCGGTGCAATCCGTTAGCTGCGCCACTCGCTTGGGCAATTTGCGCAGCGTTTCCACTGGCATGAAGGGCAATGCGCGTTGTTGACAGCTTTCAACGGGCCACTCTTCTTGCAATGGCAACAATACCAGACTTCGAATCTCGGACCGTGGGTTTGAGGAGCTCCTGATGGCATTGTCAAGGGTGGCATGTCCCATGCAGCCTTGTTCAAGTCCCGATTGTGTTCGCCAGCCTTCAGGTCCAGGTCCAGGTCAAGGTTGCGGGTGCGGCCGTGTCCGTGAGCCTTGTTGTCCATGTCCATGTGCAGGTCAAGGTTGCGGGTGCGGGTGCGAGCGCGGTCGTGTAGTCCATCATGGCCGTGAAGCGCGAACTGTGCGCGGGCCACGTTTCCGCCGGCGAAACTTTGCAAAGGACTGGCGTGGGCGAAGCTGCCGTTGAGGCGTTAAATGACCTTCCAGACGACCGGTGAAGGAGCCTTACTCACCACATGATTGGATATCGAGACGAGGATCTGTATGCTGAAGCTAGCCTCGTTGGTGTCTCTCCCTCTAGAGTTTCTCTGGGTCTAGCTCTGGATCTGGCGCTCGCTCTTTTGCTTCTCTCTCTGTCTCTGTGTCTTTGAAAGGATATGAGAATCGAAAGGAATCTCGTTCTGAGCAGAGGTGCTCAGATTTATGGGGATTGCCTTCCCGCGACCACACTGCGCAGCGTGTGCGACATTTTCACCCAGCGATGTTTGCAACCTGCGACAAGGGGCAGTGCGAGCATATCTGAGAGCAGCGAATCCAGACACGTATTTCGACGATTAAAAAAAAACATCCACCCAATGCGGTGCGAGGAATCATGCTCAAATCCACAGTCTGCCTGTGCAAAAAAGGCCCAGCAGAGAGAAATGGGGTGGCGCAAGCAGGGCGAAAGATGTCAGTTCTTGCAAAGTTGTTCAGTGGAATTCGTTCGTGGGTCCGCCGTGAAGTAAAGAGCGCCTTTCGTAGGCAATGGCGTTGGTTCCTGCCTTTCGAACGGTAAAGGGTGCCAGTAGCGGATGTGACGGGGCCATCGTGTGAGGAAAGTCAATTGTACCGACTGATTTGATTCCGAACATGTTCGATATGAGCCCAAGATTCCGCGCTTGGACGAAGCCCGCAACACACTGGTGTGTATTCATCAATGTCCTGTCCAGAACCTGACGACTTCCTTGCCTAGGCGACTTGCGGTAGTTTCTTCAAGATCGGCCGAAGAGCCTGAACCTAAAACGTCAAAGAACAAGATGAGGATGGTGTTTGCCTTCTTCACCTGTCCGCGCCCCCCCCCCCCCTCGAGGCTGCCTCGTCCGGCTTGTATATCACACTTTTACGAGCTGCATAGCCGTCTCATTCTCCACTGAGCGGAGCCAAAGGCCCAGTCAAGTCATGTCCAGATTGCATTCTCTTGCACAACATGACCGGTTGTCAGCTCAGGCGTACGCCAAAGGGCAACGTTGTAGGCATATCTCCACTTTAGCAGAAAGCATCCTGCGCAGGTGCGCACTCGAGTGGCTCGACAAAGGCTGCGACGAGGAGGCATAGTCGTGATGGTCAAGATATCACAAAGTTCATTCTGAAGGGCGTCGTTCGAAGGACGCACGGCGGGGCACATCATTGAGTTTTGCCGTGAGCATGGCGCAGCAGTCAAAAGGCGGCGGCGGCGGGCAAATCGAGAATTTCCTGAAACTCGAGGACAACTCGAAACGTGTCAACGGATTGACCGTTCTCTTGCAAGCGTGAGGCATATTCGCGAGCATCTGGGTGTGAATGTCTGTAGCAACGAGAGGAGGGCGAGCTTGTCTCCAGCTGCTCGAGCTGATTGATGATGGAACCTTGGCGCAGGTGGCAGAGACTCTCCACAACCGTCGCTCATGCTGGCCATGTCCATTTAATTAGGCCCAATGGCCCCCGGCATCTGCTGTAACCAGCCTCCGCAGCCAAAGTGGACATCGTCCGTTACCGTTATGAGGCAACCATGCACACCGAGATTGGTAAGATCCTTTGACCACTGGCTAGAGGCGGAGTCGTCGTGGTCTCCATAGATTGGGCATCTCATGCAGCCTCTCTGAGAAGGAGACCACGCAGCAATCCACTCCATCGATTATCGGCGACATGCAAGGCATTGTGACCAGGAGATCAGAACTGAAGCTCGGGGTATCAATTAAGCTAATTAGCTATGATGAACAATGGATTCGACAAAAGGTCGGGAAAAGGCCCGCTCGCATGCGGATAACCCCAGCTGCGAAAGCTCAATCCGCATTGCCTGCAGATACGACCCCGGTGGTCATGCCGCTTCGTTACTCGCACCCATTGCGGTCACGCGCCTCGGGAGCGTAACACGATCGTGATGTTGTGGGCAATACTAGGTATTCTCAAGCACTAACTCGTCCCCGCCCTCGATCATGGCCGAGGTACCGGTATAACCGTCAACACGCTATGCCTTACTTCGCTTCGGGTTTGGGAGTGTGATTCTTGCCCCGGTTGAGAATGGCGTCGATCATGGCTTGGGACGATTCATTCGACTTGTTGATTGAGACACGCTTCTTGTTCGGCGCCTCGTCATTGCTTTCGCCCTTGGACTCCGCCAGAGTCTCCATTTTGGGCTTCAATGGTAGAGTCGAGCTAGAGGTCGACTTCTCATCGTTCTCCGACGCTTTCAAGGACCCGTTTGTCGACTGTCTCTGCAGTCGCGGCTCTGTGGTGTCTGACGACGCGAGCGAAGGTACCAGTTCGAGAAGTCTCACTGGGAGGCTTGAATGATGGACTGAACCATTTGGTACCGACGTTGGTGGCAGTCCGGGTGTTCCTGAACGTGAAGGTGTCAAGGATCCCACCGATGTTGTCGAAGCCCTACTGAGGCTTGGTGTGTCCCAATAACATTCTCGTTCTTTGGTCAGAAACGGGTGCTCAAGCAATTGTTTCGCAGTCCAGCGCTCTTCGGGGACCCAGGTCAACATCTTCTTCGCCATATCGATGAACAGCTCCTTTTCTTCCGCATTCATCCGGTGGATGGAATGTTCAAATTTGCAATCCTCTGCCACATATTTGGGGTATTTGAATTGACCGTCGCCGTCAAAGTACCACTTTGCCTTCGCACACCGGGCCAGAAACTCCTTCGGGGGAGGACCCAGCAAGGCTATCATCAAGCCCAAGTGCTGCTCTGGCCGATAGTGATCAGGCTCTGTGCTTATTGAGTCAAACAATCCAATGTTTTCGACCAAGTCCCACAACATCACGCCTAGATTCCATATATCTGCTGGATAGGACCAGCCTGCCTGGAGGATGACCTCAGGTGCCATAAAGACATTCGACTGAATGGGTTTAGTGTTCTTCTCGTCTCCCCAAGCCGCCAGACCGATGTCTGTAATCTTGGCCGAGGCAATGACAGCCTCGGTCGGTGACTCGCCAAAGTCACTGCATGATGTATAGATGATACGTCCGTGGCTGTCTGGTGCTTTTCGCGGGGATGGGTGGTCATGTTCGTGTTGTACGAAGTGGTCGAGGATATTAGGGTCGCCTAATCCCATCATGATATTGTCAGGCTTCAGATCGGTATGTACCACGTGGCATTCGGAGTGCATGTAGTCAAGTCCTTTTAGAAGAGCAGGCAGCAGGACTCGAAGTTTGCCACAGCTGAAGCGACTCCCAGGGAACTTCTTCATGCACAAGTCAATAGGTTCACGGAGGACGTCGTAGACGATGCACAGATGATCGCCATATTTACCGTTCACTCGGAATGTATCGAGCATGAATCGGACGTGCGCGTATCCCGGATGCTGAGGATTTGCTGAGAAAAGCTTCTCTGCAATTGCGCGTCTGCCTTTCTGAAAGTCCTCGCCGAGCGTGTTGACGTTGATTTTGATCGTGACATATTTCCGGTTTCCGGACTGACCGTCACTGTAAAGCGAGTTAGTCCGGACAAGGCCAACTTGCAATTTGCCAGGCACTCACGCGTGGAGATCCTTGGCGAGCCAGACAGTCGCCGTCATGCCGTAACCGAGTTTGACAAGAAGCTCATAGCGATGGTTTAGGACCTCGCCAATTCTCGCGGGGTACCAGTGCTCCGGTTTATAATTTGGGTTAGTCTCTTCCTCAATCAGCTTGTGGCCGGAGATCGTGTCGGGCTGGGGATGTGGCGAGGTGCCTCTCGAGTGAAGCAGATTAGAGAGTGTCTGCTTGTTGTGGCTGTGCGCCCGTTTGAGCAAATTGCTAGAGCGCATGTTGAAAGCTCAAGAACGGTCGGCGAAGAGGGTTCAAAGACGGACGCGGAGATGGGCCATTTCCATGATTTTCCAGGCTTTGTCGTGAGCAGACAGCGTGCTGGCGAAGGATGATGTCGTTGAGATTGAGTGAGGCTGGCGCACAGCTGAAACTTGTAGTCGTCAGAACGGGAATACGGATGACCCGGCTAGTGAGCGACGTCAAATCGGACACCGGGAGATACTAGATGCGAGTTTTGCTGTCGCTGTTTAAGTAAGCCAGGGTTCAGGTATGTACGAGGTGGGTTCGACGGCGGCGGAAGAGACGGATATAGGGGATGGCCAATCTGGATGGGCGAGATCGAGGTTTCTAGAAAATCAAGTAGTGGTGGACAGTGTATTTGTGGATGAGGTTGCAGCACGTCTGGCACACGGCCCAGGAGCCGTCGCCATTCGCAGAGAGAAAGCGGAAGTTCATTTTATTATGATGATGCAGTGGCTAGGACTGGGCGACTGACAAGGATGAGTGGTGCTGCTGGGCCTCTTACGTGACCAACTTTTGCAGGTGCTTGCGGGTGGTGGGTGGTGCAGGGCTGTTGCGGCCGGGGTTCATGCGTTCGCGAGCGAGAAACCTCTCAAGGGACTAAGAGCTGGGGCAAACTTACCGATAGACACCTCGGTGCGAGGCCGGCTTTGCCGCGGGCGCAAACGCAGACGAAGAAGAAGACGAAGGCGACGACGACCGTAGGCTGTTGCAATCTTTGCAGGAGGGGGAGCGGCTGAACAGGCGTGGACGAGCAGCTGTGTGTCGGGCGGTCTAGAGGCTAAGGATATCTCAGGGAAGTGAGGGCCGAAAGGGCTTGAAAAGGCGGAGAGCTGGATGATGGTGGTGATTTGAGGTTTTGTTATTTTTGATGCCCCGCGTGTTTGTGGTTGTGGTGGTGATCCGCTGCTAAAAGTGACTGGCGCTTGAGGCTTGGTCAGGGCAGGTGCACGGACAGCCTGGAAGAGGTTGGCTGCGTAGGTGCTCCCGGTGGCCCCCTTTGCCTCTCAGGGCCTAACTTAGGCGTTGGGCTCTTTGAACAGCCGGGTGCCCAACGATAATCACTACGTCAACTTATGTGCTTGCTGCTTTCGCTGCACGTGACGCCCAATACTGACCATAGCAGCTAGCGGCCGGCGGCTTGGGGGCGCACTGCCGGATTTTATCCCTCGCCATCACTCCGTCCGTCAGGTACTCAATCCATCTGTTCCTCTCTTTTCCCATCACTAACAGCGTGCCCTCTGGTGGTCCGCGGAGCAAAATCAATCATCACAATTTACAGCCCTGACTCCCTTAACGTCGTGCTCTTATGCCCGTCTCGTGAATATCTATCGCTTACACTCCGCCGGCCGACGCACCCATGTTCGCCAGGTACATACTTTGAGGCATTATCTCACACCTCTATCAGAGACCACCATCTCTGGGGATTGGCTGACCAAGATATGCATGGAAGCCGTGGAACTTTCTCGGCTAATGATGAAATCACCTGGACCCAGCCGGTACACAGTACCCAGTAAGTTTCACATGCTACGGCTCGCTTCCTCCCCTCGCGCGCCAGATGCACGCAACGTGAGGAGGCATCTGCTCCAAAATTGCCATGAAAGTTTAGCCAGTCCCGCCGGACTGCTGTCCACGTTGCCGCCATCGCTTGTTACTAACACATCTGTGGCAATATGTTGACTATTTCGTGCTTCTCGTTACGGAGTACGGGTCTACTCTTTCTGCCATCAGGACGTCATCCACTCCTGCCACTGCTCGGTGGCCATCGAGAAACCTGTACCACCTATTCTCATAGATCCCAACCCAAACTTCCCACCCTACAGTCCTTTCCTTGCAACCCCTTAGATACTTCGTCCCTTGTCACCATGGGCTACACCTTATTGACGGTCAGATATTCTTTCACAGCCACAACCTGGAAGAGGTACCCGTGCTCTCCGTCGCCGTCTGGCGGACACGGTCTCGAGTATAAATTTCCGCGCAGATTTTTGCCTGACCGGAAGCCATTTGCTAGGTGTCTTTCCCCAGACCCGTCTGAGTGAGATGTGGGTTTCGAGGAATCGAGCTGGAAGTCTTGAAGCTGGTGGATGTTTTGATTCGGAGGATGGCGTAGTACATCCCGTGGGTTGGCACACTCAGTATCGGTGTGTCAGGGTCTTTGACGATCAGAACGCACTCTTTGACGTTTCCTTGGTCTCGACCACAGGCACATCAGTTTCTGCGGAAAACTGTGACGAGCCGGGGTGAGCGAGGTGATGGTGATTTCTTGGGAATCCTGGAGAACAAAAGGACCACGTGTATAGAGCTTCCCATCCTTGCCTTTGGTGTTGTTAAGGAGGCGTGCGAGGAACCACTCTATGTAGTGGAGGATCCTCATCCTGCTGATAGTATCGACCTTGTGGTCGTTGGAGGGATGCAGAGCCTCTGTATAGCTTCGCGTTGATTTGGATGGTGATTTTTGTATGTCAACGTTGAGACAAGATCACTGCTTCGCCTAGATATATACATGTACTTGGAGGCAGGGGTCCCGGTTCCTAAGCTATCGGTTGCCCAATACTGCTCCGATGCTTGCAAAGTCTTGCTTCATTCGTTAGAGTTGGTGAGAGGCCGGGTTGGACTATCATCCGCATCGAGAACAAGGAGTTATGAGGCACCCCGTGCAATGGAGCCACCAGGCCGGTCTGTGTCTGCGGCTTATCTTCGCAGGGATTAGCTCATAGGCTGAGAATTGGGTCAGGAGTTCCGTACCGGAGATCATTGTATCGGCTTCCGAGTAATTTCCCCCGCTTCTGTCCATGATTGGACGGCTCATGGCTAGGAGAGACTAAGTGAAACCGGTACCGGGCTCCCTTTTTGGCTGCGTCTTTGCCCGGCGCGTACTGAGAAAGCGGAACTAGGAAGTGCTGTAGTTACATGCCGTGTGCGGTGACGGTGAATGGGACATCTCTAGACATTAGCGGAGATGTCAGTGGTAAAGTTTCGTGGGTGGCTGTAGGCGTGACGTTCATATCGCAGGTACTTGGCCATCGGTCCAGATCGATGAAAAGATATCGTCCGAGACAGGCCAGCCAAATTCGGTCAACATAGGATCGTCCATGAACGTCGAATAGTCTGGCCTTATTACCGAAGGCATCGCACTCTCGGTCATAGCAGTCTCGTTAGACCCACCAGCCGAATCGCTTCGAGGAGCCTCCTCTATCCTGGCTGTCAGCAAAGCATTTCCGGGGCGCGAAGAGCCGTCGGCCATACCGTTCCGATTGTCACATAGTGGCGGCGGATAGACGCCCATGAGGCCTCCAAACTCCTCCCGCCACCAGACCACGCCATCGAGGACAATGCTACCCGTCAATCGACTGCGAATGCGCAGGGCGACCGCTTCGGTTCCATTTTGTCTTTTGAAGACATGCGCACTGTTCCAGAGCTGCGTGAGAGCCATACCATTACGTGCAGGGACATCATCGTTCTGCACGCTCATCTTCTTGTGGAGACTGATTCCCAGAAAGAGGGCAGATCGGGCTCTTTCAACGTTGATGTACCGGCTGAAGGACGTCTTGAGCAGCCGCAGAAGAATGTGGCTGGGCACCATCATACTGTATATGAAGTAAATCCCTGAGGCAGACAGGCATATATGTCCGGACTTGTCCAGAGCCTCGAAGGATTCGATAGCCCGACAACACGAAACACAGAGGTCGTAAAGGGCTGTAGGGTCTTGCGCCGCTGGACTCTTCCATAAATTGAACGCTTGAACGACCAGTGTGGCGACTTGGACGTAGAGGTGGTGGAGTTCGGAGGCGCATTCCAGTCCGACACTAGTGATCTGGGCCAGGAAGACATTAAGCAGGGTGTCCAGAGATCTCTCGTGCTCGGCCGTCATGTTGCGGAGCCCGTTCTGGGCCACCGCTATGCAGCATCTCGTGACGACATCTTGCAACTTTAGTTCGAACTTCAACTTTGGGGATATTCTCTGGAATAGCTCTCGTCGTTGTTCGAGATCATGAGGGACGTCTAACATTGGAGTCGCCGGATTGCCCTTGTACCAGCAAAATCTGAACACCAAAGATTAGCCAATGCAACCCGCGCAGACGGGCTCCAACGCGTACCGCTGATAGATGAGTGTGCAATATCCCCACGTCTCAGCACGTATTCTGAGGTCTTCTTCGGTGAGTCTGACCCGGTTCTTACTAAACTCCTGGCTTGCAACCGGTAGGTGTAGTCCGATCTGCATTGCCATATGTAAGACAGCTGCAGAGAGTGGATATGTCAAGTCGTGCCCATTATTTGACTTTGGAAACGGCCAATGGAGGAGGAGTAACATCCCTTGCACAATGGCCAACGTGACTTGGTGGGAGTTCAGAGACATTAGAGCCATCGTCTGAATCTTGAGCGGTAAAACAGAAAGTAGTGTAGGGTTCTTCGAATATGTTCGACAGGAGGCTCCGATCACCGCCCAGAAGAGGAAAGGGGAGAGTTTATAGTATCCGTCGGGTGTGATTGACGGATCGAGGATAGGTAGAAGGCCTGCATAGTCGCGAAAGTAACTGTTCAGACTCAGCCAGTTGCCCACGTGATTTCCTCCAAAGACTCACAGCTGAAACAGGGCATCGATGTCCTTCGAATCGACGGTATGTCCGTCTATAGTTCGTGGCGAGGCACCTGAAGGCTGGAAATCATGGGGCAGGCTCTCTGGGGTCTGTAAGCACTCTCCGGCTGTTCGGGAGAAGGATCGAAACGACACAGGCGCAATCGCATCCTGAGTGAAGAAAGGTGCAACCGACGCTAGACGGCTGTCGGTATCTGTATTAGCGGCTGGCAGGTCATTGACAGCAGCCCAGGACGACCCGGGCAATATCGCAGATTCTGGATGACTCGAGGCTCGGAGACGTTCTTGGAGCTCGTCCGTCTGCTGCTCAAGCTCGGAAAGTCGCCTGTGATCAGGCCTCCGTGAGTATACATCCCTGGCAGAGTCGAAGTGAAGCTGGACACGTACTTGCGCTTATGTTCTCTTTTGAACGGTTCTGAGATCATACACTCTCTGTGCATCTTCCGACATCTCGAGCAGGGCTTGTCGGGTTCTAAATAGGCGTCGCATTTTGCCTGTGGGCGAGCAATTACTATCGCGGAGACGCCGTTGTCTGCCACTACGTACCTTCTGTTGCCGACACTCTGTGCAGGCTCGCTTGACGACTTTCCCATTAGTTCTGTGGACGTCGGTTAGGAACGCGCTTCGGCCATTGATGGAGCCACTCGGCCTTACGGGTTTTCTTCACTCATCTTGCAGATGCCCCTCAGATCATGGATATCGTTGCGGCAAGACACGCCAGTGCACTGGAACAGCTAGAGTAACAAGATTCATCGTCCGCATATCTAGAGGGCATTAAATTGAACCGATGTGAAAGAGAAGAGGATACGAGGGAGTCTTGGGACTCTAAATGCGGGCTGCCGGACCGCAAACGCGATGCGGCAAAAGCGGCGACGCGCGTTGCCCAGATGCGTCATGCCCGTTACCCGACGACATGCGCCGAGGCGGCGAGCCCGGTGAGCACAGGTTGAGCATACATTGGTTCAGGATCCTCAAGAGATACACAGTGAAGATAGGGCGATCGTCCATTCGTCGAGGGGCGCGAGATATGAGCAGCTGGGCCGATTTGTCGGGTGTTGCCGCCCTACTATAGTCAAGCGGTAAAGCACACTGTAAATACCTTGGTATATGTGAGCACGTCTTAGAGGGCTCATTCTGCCTTTCACCGAGAGCGGCTGGTCTTCTGCTATATGTTTGTTAGTATCATGAGATCGATGCATGGGCTATGTCCCAACACATTTCCCATTCTCGGCCCAGCGTGCGATGGAACAAGAACTTGTTCGTTGCCAGTTGCACCGACTTCCAGTCCTGCTCCGAGCCGCTTGAAGCAAACAAGCTCGTCATCACTTCCGCCTGCAAATGCTGCAGCTTTCCACGTCGGGCGGCATTGGCTGTTACAAGAGCTAGCCACTTCCACAAGTCTCTGTCCCACGGCTTGTGGAAATCCCAGGAGCGCAGTGCGGTGCCCAGTTCTTCGACGACCCGCCGGTAACCGGAACATCGACACGTCCATCCCAGCAGATTGGCATGGTAGACATAGACAGCCTTGCAGACTGCTCTTTCCACCGCATACTCCTCGCCAGAAATTCGGCACAATCTCATGAGGTCTGCGCTGTTTGCCCGTGGATCGAAGGTCCTCAGGAATGCTTGGTCGGTCGCGCTCGGACTCTGGCCTGGTTCTGGATCTATGCAGCGAGTCCATTGAACTGTTTTTGCAAGATTGGCGAGGACTTCTACTGAAAGTTGACCGTGGGATGCCAGAGTCTGAAAGCCAGGCGTCAGCGTGCCGATGACGATTGTAAGCGTGCTGGGAAACGGGTGGCTAGGGTATTCCAGATAAGCGCCTTTTGCGACGGTCCTGTGCAAGGAGATACGATCGCCAAACAGAAGCAATGCATTGGATTCCGCCCTTTGTATCCGGATCCAGATAAGCTTTTGGAGGAGGGCTCTGTCAGAGCTTGACCACGTACCATGCTATGAACGACAGCAGAGAGCCCTGAAACGGCTCTCTGTTACTTGCGATCTTGAAGGCTTTTGCCATCCTTCGAAGCCCATGCAGATGGGTTTCATAAGCCTGAACGTCCAGGAAAACATTCTAGAGCCGTCAGCAGTGGCAGGGCAGTCGCTCGGGCAAAGTCTTACATCGATGATCATCAGAAACACTGTTGCCAGTATGACTGCCTCGTCCAGCCAGCCCGAGTTCAGTTTGTTCCGGATCCCGGAGAGTGCCTGGCCCTTATGGTAGAGAGACCAATTGCACATGCGAGCTTCAAAGCTTTGACTTGCCGCTTTGAAACTCAGGCAGAGGGCTACAGTGGCCTCGAAAAGTTCCACATTCTGGAGGGCTACTGGGAATGCTTCTCTGATAAGTGGGTTATCTTTCGTCTGATACTTCAGCCCTGGCCTTTGCGAAGGGGCCCACTTGTTGATATCTGTTGGCTAGTCAGTCGAGGGTGCAAGGTCGCGGGTGGACAGATTGATACAGTGATCCATGGCGGCCACAACTTCCGCATCTTGGGCAATGGGGATGGCATCGAACGGGTCGAAGAGATTAGATACGGGAAGTCGAGTTAGCCTGGGGATAAGAAGTCGTCCCTCCCACCATCCAGGGGTTTGACCTCTCTCCGATAAGGTAGTGCCCGAATTCAGTCGCCATCTATATGTAGTTGGGGTAAAAGTTGGATAGGACGTCGCCAGAGCCGAGTCAGAAACCCTTCTTGGCAAATAAAGATGCTCATGGCTGACGTCTCTGGCGGACGGAGCTGGAGTACCCTGTTTAGAATCTTCAGGCGCGCAGCTGCTCTGATGCGACAATCTTTGCGCAACTCCATCACACTCCTGCTTGACATGAACGGCGGAGTCGGTCGACGCATCTGAGTTGCCATCTTCCTGACTCTGCTCCGAGCTTCTCGACTCGGTTATTGGGACGCCTCTCTTCCGCCAGTATGCTACTCTTGCGGCATGCGCTCTTGCAGCCGAATGTTGCAATTCCTGTAGCCGGCGTTTATTGGGCTTCGGGTGGTCTTTGAATGTTGACTGATTGTAGTTTATTAGCGGCGTCATTGTCGCTATTCCGCTCCAAGGCGCGCATTACATGAGCTGCTGCCCGCAAGGGTTCATTCTGGCGCAAATGGCATTCGGCCTTAAGGGTAGCATAGCCCTAACGACATTCGATAACGTCCCTAGTGGCCTAATTTGGGAAGATAATACCCGGTAGAGTAAGCGACGACGAGCAAGAGCGTGACCGGCGTTCGATCGTCAGACTCGGCTGACAAAGAGAGCAAAACCTTAACTCTCGGTCAGATGATTTCTGAGGTCTCTGTTGGTGAGCAGAGGCTGTCAAACCACCGTATATGCGTCCGTGGTGCGTCAATGGGAGATGCGTCCGTCTTGGTCCTGGAGAAAGACTAGGAAGACGTCAGCAAGACTCAGAACGGTCTGGGGGCGATTTCGCGTGCCTGCGACCGTTTCGCGATGCAAAGTCCAGCCCTTGAGTTTGTATGAGACTGTTCGTTCAGCATCGATCATCCGCTAACGATTGCACTCCCTCTCGCAGACTCTGCCACCGGGCCGTGGAACGCTCTCACAAGGTGCTCATTCCTATAGAAGCCCACCACCTCGCGGAAAAGAAGACTGGTCCAGCGGCGGGAAGTGCTGCAGAGAGTTATTCAGGGAGGCAAGCGAACTCAGCAGGGCAAGTCATGATTTACTCTGTACGCGGTGGACTAAATTGGCGTGGCCCCATCATCAAGGTCAGTCCAATGGAGGATGGGGTTGTCGGGGTGGCCAGGCCCAGGTTCTGGGTTATCTCCAGCCTCCAGGCCTGCATGAGATGTCTTCGGGTATTCCACTACTCGGACTAGTTAACAAGATAATGACTTGTAGGCAGTCGAGAGGCCTTTTGACCGCACTCATACTATGTAGATCGAGTATCATAACTGTCACGGCCACTTTCTGGAACATTGACATGGCTGGCACAACGCAGAAGCACACCGGGTGACACGTTCAATACGCTTAGCCCAGCACCAACCTTTGCTTCTAGAATTCACCTGGATTGCGGGCACAGCAGGTCATCACTGCCACCGGGTACCTCGTCGACGGATCCACGTGTGCAGCCTGCGCCAGTAGCGTTGAAGAAAGTGCGAGTAAATGTACTCCGTACTCCGTACAATTTAAGCTTATCGATAAGCCCCGTAATATGCGCTACCACAGATCTCCAGCAACTTTTTTTTCTACGAGCGCAGCAGATATCTGACGACCCTTCCACTGCTCAAAACAATGGCAGTGAGCCTCCTTCATTGCCAACAGCCCTGCCGACATTGAACCATGGACATCCACAGATGTCGCTTTGTCCAATACCCCCCACAACCTATTAATGCCCTCGCATTCTCACACCTCTCCGACTCGAAGAAGAGAACGCCTTCTGACCTCCGTCTGGCCCTCGGCCGCAACAATGGTGACATTGAAATCTGGAACCCATCACATGGGCTCTGGCTACAAGAAATCATCCTCAAAGGGAGCAAAAACACAACAATAGAGCAGCTTGCATGGACGCAGGACCTGGTTGTGGACGAAGATGAATGGGTCAATGGACAGAAGTACTCGAACGGACCACTACGGCTGTTCAGCACAGGCGGGTCGACCGCAATCACCGAGTGGGATTTGTGCACGGGAATGCCGAGGAGGAAAGCAGAGGGAAATTTCGGGGATATTTGGTGTTTCGCACCACAACCACAGATAAAAGCCAACAAGGCGCCGGACACGCTCCTCCCCGGCGCAGGTTCACAGTTGCTTGCGGCAGGATGCTCGGATGGCACAATAGTTCTCTTCTCGACTGAAGATGACGATCTGCGATATGATCGAGTCCTAGCGCAACCGCCCGTCAAGAAGCCCAAGGTGCTCAGTTTGGCTTGGCGAGATCGCGACACTCTTATTGCTGGCTACGAAGACAGCACGATCCGGGTCATCGATGTACCAGGCAGAAGAATCATTCGGAATATGAGCTTAGGGAAACCGGCCGAAGGAAGCAACAATTCCGTGGTATGGAGTGTCAAGTGTCTGCCTAATGGGACAATTGTCTCCGGCGATTCCTCAGGCGAACTGAAGATCTGGGATTCGAAAAACTACTCCCTCGCTCAGCGGTTGAGTAGCCACAAAGCCGATATCCTCGACATTGCCTTCAGTGCCTCTGGAGACACCATCTTCTCCGTCGGCGTCGATCGAAGAACGGTAATCTACAAGCAAGTTCACATTCACTCAGGCACGCAAAGAACAAGATGGGCCGAAGTTGCCCACAAGCGCTACCACCAGCACGATGTCAAATGTGCCGCCAGCTTCGAGAGCAAGGATCTGAGCATTTTGGTGTCCGGCGGTATGGATACGCGTCCTGTCGTTGTCCCCATCCGCCGATCACAGACCGAGAACCACCGCACACTTCCGCATCTTCCGCAGAGGTCTCAGGTCTCCGCATCAAGTGCCTCAAGGCTGTTTATATCGTGGTGGGATCGCGAAATCGTCGTTTATCATGTAGCAAAGTATCAAGATTCCCCACGTGACGACAGCTCAGAAGGCGCCGCTGGTCCGCATTATCAGAATCTTGCCAGGCTGAGCTTGCAAGGGGATGAAAGTATCCAACACGCTCAGATCTCAGAGGATGGTCAGTTCATCGTTGCCGCTACCCTCAGCAGCGTCAAGCTGTTCCAGCTACGAAGGACCAATGCATCGGGAAACCCCGGCCTCCGCAGCCGCCAAATCGACCTCCCGCCTACGATTGTCCGTCTGGGCGCGAGACAAGTTGGGTTTTCCCCTGATGGAAAATGGCTGTTTGCCATCCGAAAAGACAATGCCGTGGCACTGGTCAAGATCACTGCGTCTTCAGATCCCAAGGGCCGTCCCACCATCCACGAGAAAGTCGTCAGACTCTACCGTGGATCCCGACCCTCATCTTCTCCGGCACTAGGCACATACTGCCAGATAATCACTCAAACCGCCTTCTCAAGCGACAGTCGGGCGCTCGCGGTAGGAGACTTATCTGGAGCGATCGAAGTCTGGGTCCTCGAAGGACACGAGGATCTCAATTTCATCGACTCGACGGGATCGGATCGTTCTGCCGACTCGTCATCTTCGGCCTCATCATCCACAACATCGACAGACGAAGACGACGACGACGACGACGACGACTCCCCAGTCATCCACGCACAGAAATGGATCCGCAATCCCTCGGGCTCGTCCCTCCCACAGCTCGATTCCGCTATCCTGGCACTGACATTCCGGCCATCCTCCATCGTCCCAACGCATCCCAAGCACGATAACCTCGGTCTTCATGCCACTCGGCACAATCCACACCCTGTGGCGCAGGAGCTGCCCTCTCCTGCCGCGATGAAGCTTCTCGGCGTCACGGCCACGCATCATATTACGGAATTCGACGTCTTGTCCTCGACCCTTTCCGATTGGTCGCGGCGCAACCCCTCCCAGTTCTTGCCGCCTGAATTCACAAGAATCAAGGACCGAGTGGTCGGTTGTTTTTGGGATTGTGGGGACGTGCCCAACAAGGGCGCGAGGCTATGGCTGTACGGAAGTACTTGGATCGTCATGCTGGATGTGTCGAAGGACTTCCCGCAGCATCAGCGTGGTGGCCACGAAAAGAAAATCACGAAGGGCAACGACGTGTCAAAACGCGTCGCTGACGGTGGTGCCGAGAAAATCGGCCGTCTGGGGCGATACGATGTGCTCGAGCCGGTGATCAACGGCGCCGACGTCGGCGGGCCCGTAACGCACTCTGGGGATGCACGGACGCAGCAGGACCACGACCGGGGCAGGAAGAGGAAACGAAATACCGGGGCTGGTGACGAGGTCCGGCCGCAAGAGCGCGAAACTGGCCTTGGCAGATTCGTGCGCAAATTCAAGAATGCGGCAGGCGAGGATGAGGAGGTGATTGATCTCGACGTGGAAAACAGCCACCACACAGGAAAGGGCGAAGACGAAGATGAAGCCGACGATATGGAGCTAGACGGCCCCGATGGAGTCGACACCCTTGCGCTCATGCGACGTGGTGACCGGGAGCACGAACATGAGAGTAAAGATGTTGCGGTCTGTTCAGATCCCGCCGAGCAGACGACTGCAACTGCCACGGCGATCGAGACGAGACCGAGGACTCGACGCCCCTGGTCCCACTGGACTACGTTCGAGTATCATTCCATCCTCGGCATTTCAGTGATAGGTCCAGGACCACCATTCGTCCCTCCTACAGCTTCTCCCACGCCTATCTCTACTTCTAAGACAGCCTCGACGACCGAATCAGCCGCGCTGACGAACGAAGTCCACAGAGGCGAGGTGACGTTGTCCACGAGCACGAACACAAACACAAACGCAGACGCAGACGCAAGCTCGAACATCGAAGTCGTCATCGTCGAACGCCCGATCTACGATATCGACCAAGTCCCCCGCTTCGATGGCGGCCAAGAGTGGGAGGTCTAAGTACAATACAAACCGACTGGACACCTTTCGTGGACGAGTAACTCGTAAGGGAAGAAAGAAGGGAGCAAGGGAGTAAAGGAGTGTGACAGAGTCGGTACGACGTACGACATACTTGTGTAGATGAAAAAAGGGTGCAGAGAAGCCGCTTTGTCGTCCCGCACCCACGCCGACCTCTGTCTGTAGATACAGTATGTGCTAATTAGGCTTGATGTGAATAGTGGTCCGTCCTGTGTGCCATGGTGGCGTCCTTGGGGTATTAGCGGTGGTAAGATATCTTGCGTCTCCCGTCCATCTGGCTTTTCGGCCGTCACGTCGCAATGCATCTCGTGCGCGGCTTGGTGGAGCTCATCCGCCCTGTCAGAGATAAGATTACGTCGACTTTGTCGCTGTCCACGACGGTCATTCGTCCAGCAAGCATATTGCCTACGTACACCCCGTTGTGGGAGGGCAGGAGGAGTGATGAGGGGAATGGCACAAGCAGAATCGCGTGGTGGTTTAACAATTCGGAAAACTGGTATATTCTTCTCTGCCTGCCGGGTATCTCCTCTGTACTTCGTTCTTCCTGCGAAACTAATAGTCCCCAGATGCCAGTCCCTATCCAACACATGGCAACGTAAACCCAAAAAGATGTGTAGACAATATCTCAGAGGACCTCTCGCTCGTGACAACATAACGCCGTTGAATCCTTTTTGTCGTAGCAGCAGCCTTCTGCTGACCCAGTAGCTTGTAATATATGTAGAAGCAATCTGCACTGCACCGACCACGCATAGAAATGCATAGAAATTGAGTATCTTGACTTCGCCGGATTCCCATTCCCCAAGGCTCGATTTTGCTTTGCCCGCCAGTAAATGCAGTGTGAACCGGACCACAACACAAAGCGCCTGTACCGTGCATGCTGAGCGAAAAGATATCTTCCTCATCGAATAGTGGCGAAGTAATCATGAGATCAGACGTAACAGCGTAATCGTGCAAAGCAAACAGTAGAATACGAAAGGTTGGAGACATCCTGGTAAGCAATCGCGTTGCCTTCATCGACATCACCGACGGCCGGCCTGATCCATGTGCTGCTGAGGCCACTGGCTAACCTCCTCCTGTTGCGATTGTGGATCGACGGGACGCTTGACCTCATCAGGATGCTGGGGGTTGACTGCACCAGGCATAGAGTTGAGCACGTCGTTGGCCAGGGAATGGGCAACATAGCTGCGCAGCTCCCTCTCCTCCCTTTCGTCTTCCCGCATTAACTGTGCTCTGACGGATTTGTCCATGTTTTCTCTCCTGATCTTGCGGATCTCATGCATAATCCAGAGGAGGACCTCTTCGGGACAACGAGTCCTGGGTAGCTGATAGCGAGAACTGCGGACATAGCGTCGGGTGACGTCGGTCGCACCGTCATTCGAGAAGGCAATGCAGTAGGCAATTCTGCGATTCCAGCCTAAGGGCGACAAGTCAGCACTATGGCTCTCGGAGGGGGAAACAGTCATTGAGCTCACCTTCAGTGTATACTCTGGGGTTATCCCACATCTCTTCACAGGGGTCCACGTGGATCCACCGTCGTTGATGATCGCTGTAGACCTCAGTCCAGACATGGTCTTCACTATTCCACACCCAGCGCACCCTGGCACCGGCAGCACGACACAGCATACTGAAGCAGTTGGCGAACTCTCCTGCCCGTCCTCTCCGGGTCTCCAGTAGTGTCCAGACCTCGCCGTATCTAGGAAATCTTTCGAAAGCCTGGCAACCGAGACCTGTACACTGGTATAATTCCGTCTTTGTTGCCCCACGGGCGACTTCATCGGGGGTGGGAGGGGTCTGCCCACGCGCGACAGTGGCGCCGTGGCATCGTTGGCACGGAGGGTTGTTGACGAATGAAAAGAAAGAGCGCTTGAACCACCTGGAGATCTTGTCAGAATTGAACGAAAGCAGTGGTCTTGGGCTGTTACGAACCTGAGCAGCGACCTGATCACACAGTCCAGATAGCCCCATTCTGGTTTGACATTGTCACCCTTCGAAGCTGCCAGTCCTTTTAACAGATTGTGCTCCTCCTCCGCCTCGGAGTAGATTCTGTCAATGGGCACGTGGGTCAGAGCTTCGTCCAGTAGCCCTGGGTTCTCGTATTTGACCGGGGTCATGGACAAGGTGAGGAGCATGCTTCGAAACCTCAGCGACGGGCCATCTTGCGGAGGAGAAGGGACGATAGGGTAACTTCGGAAGTTGGTGTAGGTTGGGGGTTGGTGTTGTGACGAGCGTGAACTTGGAGCGACCGAGGGTTGTGGAGAATTGGGGGCCTGCGAGTTGTGTGAAGATGTCCGAGGTGCGAGGTGAGGTGAAGATGATCGGGGGCTTCGGGCTTGTTGCTCGAGTTCGTTGAGCCTCCTGGTCCGTAATAACTGCTCGAACTGTTTCGAGAGATCGCCGGCATTGAAGTCGAACTCATCGTCGAGTATGCGCGGGCGTGGATTGCCCGCCATGGCTGCTGGGAGAGTCGTGCTGTCGCAGTCCAGGAGAATTGGATAATGAGGTGAGCAGAGACTCTCGGAGGCTGTTGAGGACGAGAACGAGAGCACACAACCGTGGTGGTCACCTCGACCTGCCCGGATCAGTCTGATTGAGCGCAAGTGACGAGTTGCGCGGAGCACAGCCGCCTCGAGTTGCCCTCGCCACAATCCGCAGGCTATTCCAGGCACAGCCCATTCAGAGCAAGATGTGAGTTTGGCTGCTTTCAACAGTAAGGTCGGGATATGCAGAGAGTGGTTATCAAGCTGGAGTCACTATTGTAGTAGGCAGACGGAGAGCAGAGGAGGCAACAGTGAGATGGTCGTTACGTGGTGAGTGAGTGGAAAGTGAGTAGTTACGTGGACACACGCACGACGCCCAGGATTGCGTCTTCCCCCAAAACTGCACACGGCGAAAGTGATTGCCGCTGGCTTGGGTCCCCCGGTGGCTGTTACGAGGGCACGAGGTAGTGCTGGAGAAAGCAGCAGGGAGCGACAAGCACCTCACCAGGCAGACCGCGCAGAGGCGGCCCCCAGATGCAGCAACCCAATCCCCAGAACCGATACTGGGTGCTGCTGCGCTGCAAGTTCAATCGCTATTGCTGCGTCGTCAGCTCCGGCTTGGATTGGCCCCAGGACTCCGCGACGCGTAAGTGCCTTGGCAGCAGCGGGCCTGTCGGTGGCAAGTGATTGGCGCCGCATGTCGGCCGAGGCGATTGCGTGGCCCTAATTGGCCTGTTGCGGCCGGCAACTCGTCCCTTCCAGATTCTGGCCGTCGCGTTCACTTTTGGTTCACTTTTGGTTCACTTACAGCTCACTTACGGTTCACTGCTCCGTTGCTCGCTCGATGATCGCTCTTTTGCACGCGTCCTGTGTAGATCAGGGTTCCTGTCGCGTGCATATCAATTCCGTCACCCAGAAGAAATCCCATCAGGCAGCATGGCAAACCGCTCTATGTGACGAGGGTCTGCAATATTCGTATGTGTCTTCTGGATGACTGATGGCGCGGTCATGGGTACGAAACTCGTCTTCTTACGTGGCGCCGCCATTGGCAGCAGCCCGCTTGGCAAAAGTCAAGATTTTCTGTCGTCTCAGTCGCGCTGACTACGTTCGATGCGAAGCTTGAAGCCAAGATCGAGGGCTTACTGGATCCCTTTGTGCTTGACGGAGTACCCAGTACTTGGACTCCGTCACGGGAACTGAAAGTTGAGCTTCGAGCTTCTCCAAGAAAAGCGACTTAGAGCGCGTTGGCCGAGAATCGGATTGGGCCCCTGCATAAGGATCGCCTCCGTTCCGAGCTCCATCTCTTGGCATCCTTCAACGGGGCTGTTGACAGAAATACTGGGTACATCCTGCTGTACCGTAAATAGGCCTACAGGGGGCTCCTACGACCGTGCGCGGGCAGAGGTAAAAGAGTATACGAGCCACAACGACGAATTCTCATCCACTAGCAGAATGTCTTCCACACCGTCTTCCATCATGGCCGCGTTGCCCGGACCTCTCTCTCCTCGGCTAGAATCTGGAACAGATCGATTCCTCGCCTACCGGAGACGTCGTGAATGTCCTTGACACGTAGGGTTGATGTCTGTTTCTAGATCTTGAACCCGATCTGGAAGGAGATTATGGCTGGAGCTGCCAGATCTCCCTTTGAAGCAATCTTCATCCTCTCGGATCATGCCATATCGTGCTAACCGAGCTGTTCCGTGGGCCGCGTGTGTCAGTGGCATCGCCAGGGTCAACGACCTGTGACGCATGGACGAACACGAACTCAGTGCTGACTTCGCATAATCCATCCGGTCAACGTCCACTTTGAAGGGTCACTTACGGAGACAAATCCAGTCCAGAATCGTGCACTTACCACAGGGCCGTTGAAACCAAAGCCGATCCATGACCCAATCACACCAGCCATGGATCTGTAAGGCCATTCATCCAAGGTGTGCCCACTGTACTTCCGTGCCTGGCGGAATCGAATGTGACACAGGCAGATGGGGCCCCAGGTTTAAAGGACTTGCGACATCGGCAACAGCAAACATCCAGTTCCAGGCTTCCTGTCTTTGTGACGGCTTCAATGTCACACTGCAACAGAGAGCACCCGAAGACAAGGAAAAGATGGTGGCGGCAAGGGGCCGTCCAGTGCGGTGAACCCATCCAAGGCTCGTCGGGGCCTAGCCATAATCAGCCAGCGCAGCCACCGTCCGGGAGGCGCCGTATATGGATGCCCCGACGACCGAAAGCAACGCAATCAGGGTGACTGCGTCGGAGAATCGATGGAAGCCCGCAACACTGGCATTCTGATCCTTCATCAGTACATGATATGCTTCCTTGAATCTACCATCTGAACTCAGTTTGACCACCCGCGTGAAAGTAATATACACTGGGTGGAGCGTGCTGCCACTATTCAGGAGTGCGAGATTGCCTTAGTGGACCGAGAACTCGAAAGGTCAGGGTGGTGATGTGAAACTATTGCATATTTGATCAATGGACACATGTGGCACTTAACCATATCCAGGCCCCTCGAATTGACTTATCAGTACGACCCTCCAAAACACTTGCTTTACCGCGGGAGGAAGTGCCAGCCGCAATTCTCCGTCTTGGGCGGCTGCCAAAAGCATCAACTGCAGTTCCAGCAAACGGCAACGCTGCAGTTGAAAACACGGAGCAGACTCCTTTGAAACCATACGCAAACGCGCCTGGGTCGTCCAACATCCTTGTACCGGACAAACTCCTGCATTTCCTCAATATCTGCGTCCATGTCGAAACCTGCGATTCCGAGTACCTGTCAGACTGCTTGAGCGGGCAGGAGAGCCAGCGACCAGTATGAAGAGCAACAACTTGGGTATCTCTATGTCGGCTGGGGCATATGGACCCTCTTGATCTCCTTGCAGGCCTGGTACAGCCATGAGCTGCAAGGCTTTCGGACAACGAGAAGGCCCGTAACCGCAAAGGCCAGTACCAAGCATTCCACTAAGCATTTCTTCGGATCCTTGCCGTCGGGACCCTTGGCTCCATGCCTTCGAGAAACCCAAGCACGACATCAGACAGTAGGCCGGGGATAGGGTTCGCGCTCCACGAGTGTGGACTTGCCACAGCGCTGCTGGTCCCGCAACGGCGACAGCGGCGCGGGCGATGGTTTATTCTGTCTGTCCGTTGCAGATCCTGAGATATATTGTTCTTCCGCCACTTCCAGAATGGATCCAATCTTTCTAGAGCACGCATAGCAGTCGTTACCCGCCACGAGGGCATCATGGCCCAATCGCCTGAAGGGTTGGTATCATCGGGCAACAGTCTTCAGGTCGACTACAATGCCGCTTACATTCCCCAGAAGCTCCCAAGGGCCTCATGTCGTTCATGCAACAAAACACTACTACCAGTCATGAATCACATGGAAACGATGCAATATTGACTGTGACTCGGCGTCATTGATGCACCAGACGTACTCCGTACGACGTACATGTCATAATCCCGTCAGGTTAGCCAGTAATGTTGGGAACACTCGGCCACCGAGCAATCGAGGAAGGTTATGCGATGGACTGGCGTGTGACTCTGCGAGCACGCCAATCCCAACTCCATCCTCATTTATCTTTGATTCAGATGCTCATTGGAAAGTATATTGAGTGCCGCAGCACTCTCGATGACAACAGTCGTCCTATCGGGGCACCGCAACGAATGCTGTTGCAACGCGCCAATCGGCACCCCGAGTAGACGCCGCTGACCTAACACTCCAGCACGGTACACTACTTCCTACCCGACCTGCTGTGCCACCACGTCCCACAGCTCGTTCTTATGCCTCTCTAGGAAGGCGGCATTCCCCGTCATCTCATAGACCCTCTTCACCAGCCTCACCACCGCTGGCCTCATCGCCTGGTACGTATCAAACGGCGGCCCCTCGAGATAATGCAGCTCCCATGGCGTGATCTCCCCGCGCGCCAGGCGATCCCTCATGTTGATGAGGTCGCGCGCCGCCTCTACTCTCCGCAACGCCACCTCAGAGAGTTGGACCTCCAGGTCTAGAACTTCGATCCAGCGTTCGTGCTCTGCCATGGCGGTGCGCACTCTGGCGACTTCACCTCGCAGGGAACCCCCCTCCGAAGAGGGATGCGTTGACAGATGAACCAGTGCGGCTGCAGTCTTCTTCAAGTCCTGGTACAGCTTGTCGAGCTGCGCTCTCACGTGGTGGAGGACCTCGATGTTGGTGCGGATGATGTGGGAGATCACATCGTTTGCGTCGCGTCGGGTGTGGAGGGTCCAGAGCCGCCGAGTCACCTCGTCGGCATGCATGCCTGCAGGGGGGCGATGGTGGCGAAAGTCTGCTTGCCTGAGAGTCAGCGGTGCGCTCGGCCTCGGCCTCGGTCTTTTGGGAGAGATACGTACCAGTACCATTGAGAGGTGCCAGGAGCTCATTCCGCGCATGCTGCGCGACCTCTTGGACCTGTCGTCCGAGAATCGTGTCGGCGAGGGGAGCAGGCTGGGAGATCATCTCTGCTGTGAATTAGTTCAAGCGTGTCAAGCCAAGGGTTGTGAGGATCGCGAACTCACCGTCGATGATTGGGCCGTCTTGAGGGAGATCTTCCATACCAGGAGACCCAGGAAGAACAGAAGAATCTTGACCTTCCATCGCGGAACCAAGGGTATCTTTTGTTGTCGCCTTATCGTCGGTGTCGTGTTCTTGGAGCTCTGATGAAACGAGGTATGATTTCGACAAACACTTTATCTTGCTGCGGTGAGAAAGAAATAGACCGACGACTTTCTCCGCTCTAATATACCATGGCTGCCAAGCGGTAGGAGGCAGTGACGAGGCAGTTGGTGGTGATGAGGCAGCTGGTGGTGACGAGGAAGTTGGAGGTAACGAGGCAGCTGGCGGTCTGGCAGCCCTGTGATCTATTGTCGACCATTCACTATTCACTCTAGGACAGCACTGCTGCTTTCGACCTTGAAAGGCAGTCCGGGAGGTCCGCCATATGACTGTCTCTATATTTACCCGTCGAATTCACACCAGGATGACGAGCGTGGAGGATGGCTTCTTGCACCCTTTCGACTTGACGGCGTTCCTAACGATATCCGTATGGTACAGTCTTCACTTTCTCTCTCTTCCGTCACTGGACGAAGCAGAATTTATCATCATTCTTGTTCGGTTTGTCTACATCAATGAGATCCGTGGGAATCAACAGCTGGATGTTGTCCACAGGAGAAGTGGCAGACAAGCGATCTGCCATGCGAAACCGTATCACATTGACTGCGGCAAGCAGGTCGATCCGTTCCTCTACAATCGTGAACATGGAGACCCAGTCCGTAGAGGCAAAGAACAAGCTCAAACGACGCGACCAGGACCATACCCGGCACACGGGACACGGCACACGGCACACAGCATACAGCGATTACAGCAAAGAATACGCATGCGTCAATGCAGTCAAGAAGTCATTCACATCCACCACGTGTCTTGACACCAGGCAGCGCGGCCGTTTCCTTCCCGCTATCATCCTCTTTGACTTTACAGCTCCTTTGTGGCGACATGGCATCTCATGTTTGATCGGTCTTGAAACGGCGATTCAGTGATTGCTTTGGGCCTCCGCGATCATTCTGTCCGTCTCTCCCTTTTCTTGTGGGACAAACCATGCCCAGTCTGCAGATACTTGTCTTCCACCTCTTCTACCTGTACGTGGCGTTCCACTACCGCGCCTTGAATTCCTCCCCATCGAACGCTAGCGTCTGTCCTCCCTTCTGTCCTTATCAGGACACCGCTTTTGGATCTCCCCCAACGACGTCGGATCCCCTCGCGGCCAGTGACCCTATTGTGCCCCTCTGCGGCCGTTGCAACTACGAGACCTGGGCTCCAGACTTCGAGGTCGCCGCCCAACGTCGAGGCTTCCGGAACCTTTACACAGGCGAAGAACAGATCAAGGAGGCACCTAACCCACCGCAACACGAGTCCGAGGTAGAAAGGGCAAAGTCCGCATTTCATGGCATCATACTGGCACTACCGATACGAGTTCGACGTCTGGGAGTAGGAATGGGAGGAACGACGCCGCCGCATTGACAACGCCATGACATTCATGCTCGAGAACATGCACCCTAGCGTGCGCGGCAGGATTCAACAACATGGACGTTGAGACGCACGCGAACACACTCTCCCAAGTGATACATGGCGTGCTCTACGAGAAACGTACGGCGAGCAAGACCCGCGAGACTTGCGAGAGTCGCCCTCTGTTCCCTTTCCTATTCCTACTTTCACTTCCACTTCCACATCGAACCCTAATGCCACGGCAATTCTACCACCACCAACCCCATCCACGGCCCTAGATATCGCATTCCGCAACCGCAACAATGAACGAGCTCCATCTCCAGCACTGCTCCAGCACTGCGATTCGATGAACGACCGACTTCTTCCACCCGCCTGCACGGGCTGAGAGAGGACTTCAGGGGCCGCGGCCGCGGGGCGCAGAGTACCACGGACGAGCAGTCCAGTGCAAGGTGAAGAAGATCCTGATGAGTCTTGACGCCGCGGTACGCCCCCCACCCTGCGATTGCGGAGTTGACGCTGGAGATGCTGGCGGATGCGGACATGAGGATCGAGCAGTTGATTGATTATATTGTGGGTTGGGAGGAGGAGGAGGAGGAGATGGGGGCCGGAGACGGAGATGGAGATGGCGTGTCGGCTGGGATGAACGTGGACTTGAATATGAACATGGACGTGAACATCGACAGTCCCCAGGTCGAGGTATGCACGGGTGTATGCAACGTTCGTGGTTTGAATCGTTCCGTGTCACCTTGTGTCGCGAGAGCTGATACTGAGATTGGATCAACAGCAATCAGATTCAAGTCTTGGGATGCGTCTCGATAGGCGAACTCTTCCCACACACACACAATTCCTCTGGTCCATCTGCAAATGGGAATCGAATTATGCTCGCGCTGCTCTCGCTGCTCTTGCAGCTTATGTCTATGTCTATGTCTATGTCTATCTTCGTGACTGGTGTTCCACGTCACAACTCGTTGCAGATTCCGCCGAAAACGATCAAGATGATCTTCTGATGATCAAGACGCCTGCTTCCTTGCTCGGTGCAAGAAAGCCGGTGGTGATAAACGCCACGCTGTGTCCAAGATGCCGGGATCGCTGAAGGGAGATTGCCGGGTTGAGAAAACATGCCCGAAAGTATGTACAAGAGAAGAAGAGAAATTAATAGTCGCAGTGGCACTCGCAGTCACAACAAACCAATCAACAATATGTCTCCTGCAGAATTTACTCCTCAAGTGTCGACTTGAAGGTGAGCGGCTTGGCGTCCTCTTTAAAGGGTACTCCCAGCTCGAACAACTTGACCACCACGCTGGCGAAATCTCGGAAGAAAAGATCGTTATCCTTGGCGTATTTCTCCACCCAGCCCTTGAACACGGGGTCCTTGATCAGGGCAACATCCGTGGGCAGCATCATCAGACTCTTGGTCTTGGCATCTTCATACTGCTTGGGCCCTTCCCACGATTTCCAACCCCATTTCTCTTCCATAAGAAGACGGAAGTAATCGTTGGTCAAGACCGTGGGCGAGAAGGTCCAAGGTCCCTCGAAACCGGAGCGGTCGGCATGGCAGCGGCCCAGTGCGTGGGCGCCAGAGAGAGCAACCATCTCTTGATCATTGAATCCCATGCGGCCGAAGATGGCGCGAATGTGATCCTGCCCTTTGCTCCCATCGGGCAATCGGCCGTCCGGGGTGCAGAACGCGACGTCTTTATCTTGTCGGCCGGGCCGCCAGGGGATGGTAGGTCCTTGCATCTCCTGCACGGCGCAGACACCTGCTAGGGTCCACAGGTCGGAGTAGCTGATCCAGGGGAACTGCTGCTTGATGGGTTCGAGGAAGTCGCGGGCGTTCTTGAGGCCAGCGTTGGCGCCGTGCTCGCCTTCGGGTGCGAATCGCATCGTCGCGCCGTTGCTGCCACCCGTCCCGGTAGCGGCGTCGTATGTTCCGGACGCGTGCCACGCCAATCGAAGCAGAACGGGGCCATAGCTTCCATCATCGTAATCGTCCTTCTCCCACAACGCCTTTGCGATTGCATTGTAGACTTTCTGGTAATCTTCAGCTGTGGGCGTGAAGATGCCGACGGACTGATCTGCCGAGCCTTTCTTGAGGTGCACCTCGGGGACGCCCTCGGGGATACCTGCCTTCTTCCTCTCCTGGCCAGTAGTGGTAAAGTAGTAGTAGCCTCCTGCAAGGGCAGCCGCGGCTGCGACGCCACCGTAGATGGCGCCAGTATTTGATGACTTGGGTGCTTCGTGGCTGGACGAGTAGTGGCGGCGAGAAGATTGTTGGAAGAATTGTTTGGCTGCGGTGGCTCGTGAAGGACGTGCTGCCAGGCGCAGGGAGGATGTCGCTGAAGCTGAGCTTCGGGGGAGGGACTTGGAGAAGGTGCGGACAGCCGTCGCTGTAGCCATTGTGCTTGTTATGTTCTTGTGTATGTCACGAGTACCGTGGGTGTGCAAGTCTGAGGCAAAGCTGAAGACAATGTGAAATCAAAGAGAACGCAAGATATAAGGAAATGAAAGGGATGGTAAAGAAAGTTCCCGAAAGGGCGATTGAGGGCGATAATTGGTACCGTAGCAGTGGAGACGGCGAGGCTGGATGGAAAGCGAGTGACACGCGAAATGAGTGGCTGCCGCTCGCTCGAGGAGGCGGCGGACCTGACAAAGCATCAGTTATCAGTGGTGAGATATCGAAGCCAGCCCGCGGAAGAGATACGGCCATGAATTTTTCTTTATCAAAAATCGCGCCTTGAGACTGACGTGACGTGAAGGCACGTGCTACTAGCGTCTCGCTAGCGAAACTTTGATGCACCTGATCGCCGTTTAGCTCGTTTGACGGTGCCAGTGGCCAATCAGGTTGGTCAGACGAGAACATGACTGCTGATTCTTGGCAGGGGAACTTCAACTCCGAGCCTCGTACCTCGTACACTGACGTGGTGCCGGCCCTCGCTGCGATTCGCTGTAATAGGAAAGGCTTTCTTTCCGGCTCGCTCTCGACTTCTCCTTTGGGTATTCTTTACCTGTCACCTTGGACAAACTTCTTCATACGTTTCTCGATGGAGCAAGTGATGGCTCGCCGATAGCTGAAAGTGGCTCTTCCCATGTATGTGGATTCTGCGGAGTACCTCCTTGTGATGAGCATGATGCAGAGCAAGATGCCGTGGTAGACCACTTAGCAAGCGAATACCGCCCCGTCGCGGAGACTCAATAATGTCACATTGCGCTCGATGAAGCGTCGCCAAACCAGCAAGTGCTGGTTTGAGATCCGTTGAGAAGCCAATAACAGCAGATGCGTAATGCATTGCATTCGCCATCGATCAGTAAGATAGGTTGAGTACTGCCAATCATCCAACGCCGGTCATGCGCGCTTATTTTCAGTCATACCGCGTTACCAATATCTATCATGCCACTTTTCGTACGTCCATACATTTATTGTTGTTGTGGGAATAGTTCATCAAATACCTCTTGTGCGGCTCGTTGTTGCAAGATGGCATTGGCCTTTGCATGCGCTCGCTTCTTGATGTCCTTATGTCGCGTCATTTCTCGCTGCATCAGCGCCGCTTGCTCGGTGCGAAGCTTCTTGTCCGAGGACACAATCTGCAGCCACACTTCGCTTTCCGTAGGAAGTTGTATCATTCCCTTGGTCCAGCTGATCGATCCACCGTGATGCCTTCTCGTCCAGTGTTTCTCCAGTTGCTCCACCGCCTTCCGGTATTTTGTTTGCCTCAGGCTTCGATACACCTTGTCTTCGGTCCCACAAATCCCACAGCCGAACCTGAGATCAATCCTGGGATTCACAGTTCGCAGGAGGTCCAGACATGTTATGATGTTGGACACAGGTGGTTCGCTCGCATGTTTCTTCGCATAGAGGTCCAGGGCGAACTTTAGAGCGATTTTCAGCTGACAAGGCCCATCGAGCGCAAGCCCATAGAGCTTTTCGCTTGCGTAAATCAGGTTCTTGGCAAACGCGTCGTCTGGGTTGCCTGTGTCGCAGGGCCGTCGTCCTCCGAAAGGCGACAAGTTTGGAGGCTTCTTGACCTGGACAAAATCAGTAGGGACTGCGGGGTGCCAGTGTTCCATCTTGGACGGCTCGCAATGACGAGGCACCAGGGGCAGGGTCCGTGGCCAGAAGGTCGTGTACCAGGGAAACTTGAACTCGATCGCATCATCATCTGGAGATGTCCACGAGTTGTATGTCTTAGGGTACGGCCGGGCGAATTGATAGAATTCAAGACCTTCGCCGACATGCCTCGCATGCTTCTCGAGTATGTGCTCAAAAGCCTGGACGAAAGAGAATGATCGAACATAGTCCGTCCGACGACAGCCCCTGCATCTGAGATTCGGGAACACGACCCGTCCTCGACTGGAGTTGCGTGGGATTTGCTTTTCGATGACATCTTCCACAATCATCCGGGCATCATCAAGGCTCAGACGATACGTACCAAACGTACCATCGAAGTTGAATCCATACGGTCGATGGTTCAAAGTACTGTACGTGTCGAAGACATTCTTAAGACACAGCAAAAGAAGGTCTTCATCCGCGACATGGTTCTTGATACATCGATCAAATTCGGCTCGGCCAAGTCGTAGGACATATTCCTGCTCAGGCTGGTAAGTGCGCTGTGATCCCTTTCTCCGATGCCGGCGTTCATGCAGCTCCTTGAACAGCTTGACTTGTGGCAGAGGGTCAAGGAAGGATTCCATGAGGAGTTCGAACTCCAGCACTTGCTCCGCATGTGATCGGTACGGCTCTATCTTCCGTCTGAGCGCGTCCCAGGATCGTTCTGTTGGTTGGGCACGTATCTTGAGGGCCTTCTGGAAATCCGCCATTTTGTGTAGGACCCTCTTCTCCATGGGCGGCGACAGCTCGAGGGCTCGGGCTTCAAAGTAATTGGCCCTGATCTGCCGTAAATCCTGGGCCTCTGTGGTGTGCTTGTGAAGTATGTGCTGCTTGCACCACGATTCAAGCTTAATGGCATGGGTCATCACTTCCATGGTTTCCTCATGCTTCATGTCTGCCCACGCCTTGA